TGGATAGATATCAGCAAGGCAGGATTTGTTGAATCCAACAATATCACATATATAAAACTTGCTCAATAATGGGATGTTGTGGGGATCGCCTCAATAATTCCTTACCCGCAGTGGATTACACTCTGGATTACACTCTCAACCGAGTGTAATCTACATGTGACATCAATATTTCACTATTTTCTCTTTTATTATACTTTCATCTACAATGGATTAAACTCCACATAGTCCAAATCACTGAGTTTTGATCTAGTGGCCATTAAAAAAAGATTAAAGCCTCATTTTGGACTATAGGTCAGGATTCGAATTCTATCTATAGTGAAAAAATTCAAATGAAGTGTCAGAATATCTCTTTGGTCTAGTAGATTTTTATACCTATTAGCCCTGCATATACAGTCTCTTTAGACTTTCCTCCCCTTAAATTAAAATTAATTAGATTATAGAAATACTGTCGTTACAGTAAAAAAAAAATGATGAGACTTATAAGTAAGGGCCAACGGACATGGGCAGCTCACACATTTGGATGATTGGGTTAGACATAACGTGACAGGATTCAGAACTAAATGAAATGTCATTGATTAAAAAACCCAACTTCACTAGCATCCGTATCTCATAGAGAATGAATTAAAAAAAAAAAAAATTTAAACCAGCATCCCTTACTTCTATCCTTCAGTTAAGTACCACAGCCACTCAAATGTCATTCGATTCATGGTTTATTGATGATTAAAAAAGAAAAAAACTCAGCCAGCTATGTCTCTGACTGAGGCGTTTCTCGAAAAAATTCCAGGCTGTTGTTTATTTTGAGTAATAGATTTGATTATCTAAAAGACTAAAATAGAGGATAGTTGAGGCCCCAATCACCGAATTTTTTTTTTTTTTGTCTATGAGATCGAAATTTGACTGATAAAAATCGGATTTTCTCTTCAAACTTTGAATACAAAATTAAGAATAGTCCTCTAACACTCAATAACAATATAATTTTCAGCTCCTAAATTGTTTATTGTGTCGATTTTCTTGAAATATTTGAAATTAATTTGAAAAATCCTCATTTGAGCTTCTATACAGAATTTTACAGACTTTATACCATTCTAGTTTACAGCTATGCTAACGCAATTTGTAAGTGAACATATGTGAGTGTGTTTGGATAGTAGGTTATTTTGAATAATGAAAAATGTTATAGCACTCTTTGACGTGACGTAATAAAATAAAAAATTAATTAAAAAATATATTGACGACGTAAGTAATTAAAATTAGAGAAAAATGCAATTTTGGTACCTAAATTTTGACGCACGAGTGATTTTAGTCCCCAAATTTTGGACGAAAACAAATTTGATACCCGAACTTTCAAATTTTGAGCACACTAAGTACCCTTGACGATTTTTTCCCAAATTGTTACCGGAAAAAGCCATGTGACAGTCACGTGTCCGGCCAAACTGGAATAAAAAAAGGCCAAAAATGCAGTTTTGGTACCTAAACTTTGACGCACGAACGGTTTTAGTCCCCAAATTTTGGACGAAAACAAATTTGGTACCCGAACTTTCAAATTTTGAGCACATTAAGTACCCTTGACGATTTTTTTCCAAATTGTTACCGAAAAAAGCCATATGACAGTCACGTGTCCGGCCACAATTGTATAAAAAAAAGGCCAAAAAAATGTCAAATGCCATTCTAATACTAAATATTAAATTTAAGGACTAATAGCGTAATAAAGAATAAATCCAAGGACTAAATAACATCACATGAGTTAACAAAACCCAAGAACCGATACAAATGAGCTCCAATTCCAGTACATTAATCCCACCTGTTTTTTCATTGTGTCAGTATCCCCTTCTCATTTTGTAGTTTCTTGGCTGGTATTGTTTCTTTTCTCAATATGCACTAGTCCACAGCATCATTCTTCCAAGATCGGAGTGTGCCGCTGGGACGGCTTATAGGAATAAGACCTGCGAGCCGAGGAAGTTCGCAGTTCCCGAGTACAAATGACTTCAGACAGCATAGGAGTTTATCTAGTGGAAGATCAAATGCAGAGGTCTCCAGAAATCCTGGGGTAGAAACATCTCAGGAGCTTTGTGTCCCGTTATTACACAATGTCATAGAGAAGATGAGCCGAAATAAAAGCACCTCAAGGCATTAATTTGAGACCAAACATCTATTTTTGGTCCATACTTGAGTTCCAAATTATCGTCATACACCTTTGATTGCTTCCCTATTGGATGACCCATTTGTAATTGTTCTTCTGTAAATTTTTCTGAGTCAGCTGCTTGCTGCTTTGTCCCGAGGACTAGTTCAAGTTTCTTGTATCAAGTTAGGTAGCAGAATACATGACCAGCTCAAGTTTCTTCAAGTCAACTTAGGCAAGAGAAATAAAGGATTACACATCATTATTTACACCTTTGTGACTTGATTCTTAGATTAATGTACTGGAATTGGAGCTCATTTGTATCGTTCTTGGGTTTTGTTGACTTATGTGATGTTATTTAGTCCTTGGATTTTTTCTTTATTACGCTATTAGTCCTTAAATTTAATACTTAGTATTAGAATAGCATTTGACATTTTTTTGGCCTTTTTTTATACAATTGTGGCCGGACACGTGACTGTTATATGGCTTTTTTTGGTAACAATTTGGGAAAAATTGTCAAGGGTACTTAATGTGTTCAAAATTTGAAAGTTCGGGTACCAAATTTGTTTTCGTCCAAAATTTGGGGACTAAAACCGCTCGTGCGTCAAAGTTTATGTACTAAAACTGCATTTTTGGCCTTTTTTAATTCCATTTTGGCCGGATACGTGACTATCACATGGCTTTTTCCGGTAATAATTTGGGAAAAAATCGTCAAGGGTACTTAATGTATTCAAAATTTGAAAGTTCGGATACCAAATTTGCTTTCGTCCAAAATTTGGGGACTAAAACCGCTCGTGCGTCAAAGTTTAGATACCAAAACTGCATTTTTCTCTTAAAATTATGCTAATAATTTACGATCCGAAACATTGAAAAGTTCCATCGTAGCTCTGATTATTCTAAGCTAGCCAACGCTACCCACTTCCCTTATCATTTCACCAATGCCAATTTTTGCATGGCCCACACTAATACTTTGCGTTATAAAACTGCAAGCAAGATCAGCACGACGAGCCAGACAAGAATGACCCCATCATCCTGACTACTTGACACGACGGCACCTCATATTTTTCTGAGGGATAATTTCAGAAATCTCCCTTGATGTTTCTGACAATTTCGCTAAACTCTCTCAAGGTTTGAAAAATTACACTCATCTCCCTTGATTTGATATTTTTAGTAACAAAACCTTAAAATAATATTGAATTGGCCAATATTTTAAATGAATACCCAAAAAATGCCCTTATATAATGAGTTAATTTATTTCTCTATACAATTATAAGATTATCTAGTATAATTATAAGAAAAAGGTACCAAATTTTTCTTGTACATACCTACTATTTGATAAATAACAATAATAATAATTGTATCACTATGATAGGATACTTTTGATGACACTTTATTAAAGATTTAGATTTATAAGATAGAAAAGAAAATGTTGAAATAATTCATTTAATTTTTTATTTATTGTTAATTTTAGTACCAAAAAATAGAAAATAAAGATTAGCAAAAATATTGGATTAAATATAAAATTAACTCGTCAAAAAAATTATTAGTTCGACATTTGGTTACAATAAAAACTAGAAGCAATAGTGGTAGTTTTATAGTTTTATTGGAGAAAAATTCAAAAAAAAAAAAAGAATAAGAAGGAAAAAGAATGAAATAATAATTTTAAAACTCATTCTAAATATAAGCATGCCAAATAAGGGAATTTTATCAAAATATTTAAGGGTACATTTGTCATTTTAAATGATAAGGGAGGTACGTGTAATTTTTCAAATCTCAAGAGAGGAGGTTTCTGAAATTATCCCTTTTTTTAAGAATTATTTTGCCCATCATTCCTTGTCAGCGTGACGGGCATAGAATGAGAAAAGCTACGTGTTGGAGCCCTAATTGACTGTTTTTTTTTTTAAATAATCAATATTTTGAGGAATTTGCCACCCATTCTATGGTGGCATTCTTCGAGTCTTACATTTGCAAAAATATCCTTCGCGAATTAAAAGTCAAAAAACGTCACAACTTGTCATGGAATCGTGACAACTTCTACTGCATCAGTTGTGGATGTATGATGCGAGAGGCATCACCAATAGATATTTTCAGTGCATCTTTTATTTTAGTAGCATTTTTTTTTTGTTAATCAACAAGTCATTATGGTGCAAATTGGTATTCTTCACAACCATCATCTTACATTTGCAAAAAATATTCTTCTTTTTCTCGTTAGAATAAAAGTTTAAGTGATTTTGACTCAATTCATTATCATGAGTCAAAGCATTTGCACAAAACATATGCTGCCCGCACAAATTACGATTGATGATATTTTCAGGAAAGGGCTAATTGTTGAAATTTAAACACGTAGTGTCACAAATCAAAGGCCCAAACTCATGACAACTAGTTCGATAACTGCCAATATGCTTGCATGAAGTGAGACGTATCATCAATAGATATTTTTAGTGGATCTTTTTGAAATTAGTAGATTTTATTTTTATTTTCGTTAAAAGAATGACAGTAGCATATCATGGTTGTGATAGTAAAAATCAGAAATATATACTACTACACAATGTAAACTTATATTATTACTCTTTAACGTCGATAATTTTGCTACTTTCTGACAACAAAGTGCAAGTTAATTGGTAAAGCATTTCACTTATAATCGAGAGTTCGAATCATCAATAGGATATTAACAAGGATAAGTGAAAAATGACTGTTGATTCTCTCCGAAGAGAAAAAGAAAAAAAAATCATTGCGACTTTCCTTCATGTAAATCAACCAGTTATATGGTACATATTAAATCCTATATTTTACATATAGCGACGTTCTCCAAAAGTGGCCAACAAGCACAATAAATAACTGCGCCAGTATACATTAAAGGGCAAGCCTTCCAAAAGATTGGATATCAAGAAGACACTTTAGTGCAATTTTACATTTATCCTCGACCTTCTTGGACAGAATATGTCTAGACCTACTCTTCAGTTGAAAAAACTGGAAGGAAAAGTAGCCATAATCACCGGCCGCGCTAGCGGCATAGGGGAGGCAACAGCACGACTTTTTTCCACTCACGGAGCACGGGTGGTAATCGCCGATATCCAGGACGAAAAGGGCCAAAAGGTGGCGGAGTCCATTGGCTCCAACACTTGCAGTTACGTCCACTGCGATGTTGCTGATGAACAGAAAGTCCTAGCCATGGTCGAATGGACTCTAAAGACTCATGGCCAGCTCGACATCATGTTCGCCAACGCAGGCATAGTAAGCCAGTCAGATCAGACAGTTCTGGATCTCGACTTCTCCCAACTTCACCATCTCTTCGCCATAAATGTGGACGGCGTGGCTGCCTGCGTGAAACATGCAGCTCGCGCGATGGTCTCTCAGGGCATCAAAGGTAGCATAGTCTGCACGGCTAGTACATTTGGAAGTAGTGGAGGACAAATTCGAACAGATTATCACATGTCCAAGCATGCGGTGTTGGGGCTGATGAGATGCACCGGCAAGCAACTCGGAGAGCATGGAATACGGGTAAACTCAGTGTCGCCGAGCGCGGCGGTAACACCTATGGTTTGTAATCAATTTAAGATCACGGCAGAGGAAGCTGAAGAGGTTTGTCAACTTTCAAGCTTGAAAGGGAAGGCGTTAAAAGCCAATAATGTGGCGGATGCTGTTTTATTCCTTGCCTCCGATGATTCTTCATGTATCACTGGCCAGGACCTACTCGTCGATGGTGGCTCAAGATGATGATGGATAGTCATCTCTCACAGGAACAATTTAAGGTTCTATCTTAACTTTCTGAAAGCCTACAGCTCTACCCAAAATGTTTCAAGTTGTATTATAAGTTGTTCAATTAAAAAGTCGTTCTTCTTGTTTTTTGGGGTTAATTTTATTTTGCACCTTTGAATTATATCTCGATTCTTACTTTGATCCTTAAACTGTAGTTTGAAACACTTTATTCCTCAACCTCTTAAATTCTTTTCATTTTAATTCAATTGTCAACAAGATGTACACAAACTAACAAAATAGTTTAGAATATTCTGTTAAGTATTGGATTAAAGTGGAACGATATTAAGATCTAGGAAGTGAAATATCTCATATTTTAGCTCAGGGATCAAGTGAGAATTAGGGTACAACTCAAGGGTACAAAATAGAATTAACCATGTCCCCCCCCCCCAAAAAAAAAGGCCAAACAATTATGTGCCTATGAGATTATCTATTTATCTTGAACAATTACGTCTCTTTTTCTGAAAATTGTGCTGTTTTATTCTCTGAGGTCAGGTCACATAAAAATTCACGTTCACAGTATATTGCTCTAAACAATGGAATAAAAATCAGATAATCCTAAATTCCCTTGTGGTGTCATTCATTATATGCTTCTCACTTTCATGTTAATGTAAATAACACCTTCAATTTGGATATTTTGAGTGAATTGAAATTTTGTTAGAAAAGAAAAATGTTTTGTGTAGCGAGTGATTCAGATGTTTCATCTGCTAAATTAATAACGTCCACACATTCTTACATTAAGCAATGGGCCATATCTATCAATAATAATTAATAAACCATTTCCGGTCACAATTGGAATCTTAGCTCTAGGTGCCGTGCTTCTTCACATCAATTGAAATTGGACACCTATAGTCAAATTGGAAACACAACTGACCGCACGGCACTGAAAGCAGTCGGTAATTTGCCAAGTCCTTCGTCTAGTGATTGTGACAAGGTGTTTTGGTCCAACGTGCAAAGAAGAAATCAAAGATAGGCCAAAACCTCTTATCCTTTAAGGCCATCATTGTCTCTGTTAAGTGTCCTTTTAGAGTCTCATGCTGCTAAAGTCCACTCTTCACATACACGTTCTGGTTATGTTTGCAGCATAAATGAAAGGGTTATTAGCCCACATACGATCATTGCACTTGGTTCTGCACTAATGAATTCTTATACCTATCCTAGTTTAGGGAGACTATGATTTGTATTTTCCCTTCTCTAAAATTAGTTTCCTTGTCAAATTGGAGAATATATACCTTGTATATAAGAAAAAGGCCAAGTTACTGCGGCTGCTCATCTTTTTGACACATGTATTGCATATATTTTTGACAATTGGAATCTTGGTCATTTTAGCAAAATTTTTCCTTCCCTCCTTGTGGCAATTGCTGTCATCCCTCACCTTTTTAATTTTTTATTTTTTAAAACTAATCTAACTATGATTGTTGTCATGTTCTTTTTATTGGTCGAGATGATTAGCTACTTAGAAATGAGAAGTCTTTATTATTTTTTTGATCCCATTTTACATTTTCTTTTCTTCCATTTTTCTTCATCTCTAATCTCTCATGTTGCTCTATTCTTCAATCATAATGTTATAGCCAATTGGCATTTGTTTGTTAAATTTATAGGATGATGTTTTTATTTGGTATTTCTTCATGGATAAAGGTGAAATATTAAAATAGGTAAAAAGATCTTAAAATTCATTTTATACTAGTGATCATCTTCTATGAAGAATAAAACAAAAATTCATTCTTTTCTTTTCTCCTCCTAGGATTTGAGTTCTTACTTCACATCTTTTTTCCTTTTCTTTGTTTTTTGGTTACATCTTGTAATTATCTACAATTTTGTGTATTTTTTTAAGGAGAAAAGACATATTATGTGATATTTCCACCAAGATAAATCTAGTTAGGCATTCCTCTACCTCTATTTTTCTCTGTTTCTTTCTTTCCCCTGCCCCCGTTTTGCAATTACTTTATGGTCTATTCAATTTAATTGAAGGATCCAATAAGATTTTGTATATATTTAAACTAATGTTAATTTTTGCTTGTTTTTTAATTAGTCAAGTGTTGTAGTATCAATTGGGTTGGCATACAAGGATTGTAGTTGGTGATAGAAGTCACAATTGAGGATTTCAGCCTAGAGTATGACTTGACAAAAAAATGTTAGAAAATTTAATTTTGATTAGGAAGATGTTTTTGCAATAAAAAAAATGGTTCAATTCTAATTTGTAAATGTAGATTTGAAAATGTAGCAATTCATATTTTTATCTAACCTTGCTATTTATATTTTGGAGCTGCAGGATAATGTTATCATCATTAGGCGGGATTTATATAGATGAACTAACTTCTTCAATCAAAAGCAAGAAAAATGTGAAAGTTTATAGTAAACTATATTGATGTTGAAGATTGTGCCATGTCTTAGTGGCTTTCTAAACTTTTTCTCATTATTAAAGTACTGGAAGTGTTATAACTACTTTTGATTTAGTTACAACTAAAACTATGCTGCTATTAATATAACAATGCACTTATAGTGTATTAATTCTCTCCCGTTTTTGGGTATCATCATAATAGTGGTTCAAAAATCTTTATTCAAATCACAATAAATAGGGGGGGTTGACTTCATAGATGGAATTTCTCTTCACAACAAATTTTGAGGGAAATTTTATTTATACTTCATATTTTGTTAATTGTATTCCTACAATAAATAAAAACTATATGATAAAAATAATAGCGAAGGTGTGATTAAAAAAAATTGAGAGTTCAAATAACATTTGTCAATTTTAATTATTTTGATGCTCAATTTTTCTCCTATATTTCTATTCATTCATCATGTGCCAAAATAATTTGATGTTATGTGTTCGACTAAATTTCTAGGGGTCCAAGCTGTGCTTTGCACAGGTCAAGTACTTCATGTTAAGTATAAAAGAAGTAAGAAAATTTAACATTTCAAATCTAATATACTTTTGAGTTCTTATATTACACTACCAACACAAGCCGAATCAAAGCAGATGCAGGGCTAATATAATTACAGTTCCAATTATATGGTGCAGTGTAAACACTGATACAACATGTTTAGACACTACTAAAACAATAAATGTATATACTACAACAATAATGTGCAAAAAAACTATAATAATTTTTTTTTCACTTCTTGAAAATTGTGTCCTACAGTTAATTTCATCCCCGCAATTCGAAATTAAACTCATCCCGAATATTAACTGCACCATACAATCAAAACTACGCTTGTAGGAGCTCCAATACATAACAAGCCGTGATAAACATATTTAAACCGAAACCCTCCATAGATAATTCCGCTGTTTGAGCTTTACAAGATTAAGTGACTGAAAAAATAAGGGAGTAGTGGATACACTGAAGTATGACACACTTGATTTAGTACTGATGATCTTGCATAAACCTTAATAAGCACAGCACAATATTATGTCAGGGGAAGTACAATGTTTAGTTTCCTCTTCTAGACCTTCGATTCTTCGTTAAATTGGAAGTATATAAGAAGTAATGAGTTTTAAGCTTTCCAACCGAACTACTTAATTTACTAAAAATTGTTTTTTTTTTTTTTTTTTTTTTACTAAAAATTGTTGTTGCTGCTTTTTTTTTTTTTTTTTGGGCTTACGAAGCAGTCCTCCTGTAATCCGAACGTACTTGCCATGCAGATAGATAGTAATAGATAGATAGGTAGATTTGAACTTCAGTAGGCCTAGCTTGGCCGACGGAAACTCCGGGACTGCTGTCGAGCTTCAGCCGCATTACGCCCTTCTCCTTGAAGCTTGACCATGGTATATGCCCCCGCTCCCGCCAGGGCCCCGAGTGTAGGAGCCACCAAGTATACCCAAACTGACGTGTAGTTTCCAGCAGCGACGGCTGGTCCCAGAGTTCGGACAGGATTCATTGAACCGCCGCTGGCTGGCCTGCCGACAGCCACGGCAATGTTGTCAGTGCTTGTTTTGTAAGTATGTTAGTAGGATTCCAGTAGCATAACAATGTAATTCTGAGTTAATAGACATACATAAAATTCTTTCAAATGTTGCTTTTATTGCTTTGGATTTTAAATAGTCGCAAAAGGGGCTAAGGATCAAGGGTGAAAAATATTTAAAATATAGGGATTAGAAGATAGGATAATAATAGGCTTGAGAAAATTAGTGGTTAAAAATGGTGTGTAACTTTCAAAAAACTACAGCATCTATTATATTCCTATTTTCCCTATTATTATTGCAAGCACATGAGTTTCTTGTCTTTTTCTCTAAATTTAATTTTTTTTTGGGGTAAAATTCACTGAATTTAGTTACTATCATGAAGGTGCTTCTGTTTCCAATCGTAGCATATCCTCCCATTAGCAGAAGCATTCAAATTGCTCCTAAGTGCACTATTGTAGACTTCTTAAAATGGAGACGATGAATTAGTTTGCCCATAAAGAGGAATGGATCAGATAGGGGTGTTTATTGGGTGGTGGTCGAAAATTTGGTAAAAAAATTTTGGGAATTCGGTAATTGGTTTGTCAACACCAATATTCGATTCGCATCCAAACTTTAGTTTGGTAAATTGGATACCGGTAATTGGATTTTGGCCGGAGAACCAGTAATTTGGTAATATCCGAAATCCAAAATGCCAATAGTAAGTTAACATATTTCAATTTTCTCTAAAAAAAAAATTGCTCCAAAATAATATTCCATATGTTTTTTCCAACAAAATTCAATTGAAAAAAAAATCAGCACATCAATCATCAACTCAGCATCACATTAAATAAACAAAAAAAAAAAAGTCAATATTGCATCTTGCCACTTTTGCTGTCCAAACTCCAACCAATTACGTAATGCAATAAACCAATACTAAAATGTCAAATAGTTAGAAGTTAGTACTCAGTAGTTATCCTTCCAGATTGGACTGGAAGTTTGAATTTTAAAATGATCTATAAAGGTGATTCGGTCATCGTAGACAAAATTGCTCTGGTAGCAAAATTCTTACAGCCTTTATTAACCACTCGTGGGTGCATATGAAGCGAACCCATTCCATTCTTTATTTACTTTGTAACAAGCACTAATTCATTGGCCTACTTAGGCCCCTTTTTTATAAAATTGAAGTCTGAAATCTGATTTTTAAAATCTAAAAAATGAAGTGCTTTTCAGTATTAAGTTGCTCAATTGATTAGATTATATCTATTTAATAATTAACAGAATTATAATGCTGAATTGAAATATCGCAGAAATATTATGTTGTTATCTTTAAAAAAATTACCTTTATTTGTGTATTTAGAGAGAGAAAAATTGTGTGTGCTTGTGTGTGTGATAAAAAAAAAGTTAGAGGTGGTGTTTAAGCGTGCATAATTCTGTGTGATAGTGTATATATATTTTTTTCCGGAGACGATAAACCTAATCTATCCTACACTAAGGGGAAGGGGGCGGACCTAAGAAGACCTAGGGATAACTCGAAAGGGACTGAACCACCACCAGATCAGACGGGTGCACAGCACACCCGTCTGGATTTTTTTTGGAAACAAGCCACTTAAATGTGGCATTTTGGTGGTGGCCACTAAGCCAATGGCCTAGTGGTTGTGTGATAGTGTATATTGCAATGTGTATAAGTGTGTGAACAAAAAGAGGTGTACTTTGTACGAGAGATTGTACAAGAATGTGTTATATGTGTGAGAGTTATAGCATGTATAGTCAATTCGAAAAATTCAGTAAAATTTTTTCACTTGAAAGTTTGTACACTAGTTAAACAATGCTTAATATACTATAGGCGATAGGAGATTTCTGCAATCAAACACGTTGAATTCAAAAAGTTCTCAATGAATTAATTTTCACCATTAAGTAGAGTAGTTATCAAATAAACCCCTAGCCAAAACTCACCCGGCAACAAGAATGTTGAGCATGACTGTAGCTCCGACTGCTATTCCTGCCAGTTCTCCAACCTATTTACATGTGTAGCGACAGTATGAGCACATGTTAAAAATAAACTATGTAGAGGCCAAAATTCATAGCTAACCTACGAAGGCTATATAGGTTCGCAGTTGAACAGATTAAGTCTGAGGAGCAAGGATGATGTGCTTACTGCGCGAGTGTCTGTGGCGACCGCTGTAACAACAAATAGGAGAATGAAGGTTACAATAAACTCAAGGGCGAAGGCTTGGGCGTTGCCTACGGACGGAACCGTGACACCACCTGACATAAAGGGGTTAAAAACAGCTTTGAGAGCAAAAGAAGCACAGATCGATCCTGAAACCTGAGCTGCTATGTAGGCAGGCACCTGAGCCCATGGGAAGTGGCGAAGTGCCGCGAATGCAATAGTTACGGAGGGATTCAGATGAGCTCCCGAGATATGCCCAGTTGCCAAGATCACTATCAAAACTGCTAGCCCCGCACAAGCTGCGTTCCCTATTAGCGTTTCTGCTCCGTCGTACTTTTGGTTTACAATGGGTCCAGCTGTGGCTCCAAATATAAGGATGAAAGTCCCCAAGAATTCTGCTCCCACCTGTATTCATATTTCGCCAGTTGCAAAAGTTCCAATTCAAGGTTAAGTTATACTCTTGTATCCATTAATCATTACTGAGATTGGAAGTGATATAAACTGCAAGTCAACAAATGGATCTCGTCCTGTTCTTCCCACTTGTTGTAGCTAAAGGAGTTGATTGATTCAAACACTTTGAGCTTTCCATTTACAAAGTGTACACGGATAATAAACCACATTTTTTTTACTACATTATCCTTGAAGGTAAATTTTAAGACCAGCATATTGACATTTATTTATTTTTCTTACATCCTTCCAACCTCCAACAGTCAAGTTTAGGATTGGGTAATTTTAACAGTCCTCTCATAGCCACCAGTATCAAGTTTAAATTCAGTAATACATGACTTTTACACAGTTATCAATGACGTCTTCAACTAATCGTGGTTAAATAACCAAGGTTAAGACATTAGATGTTGGGATTTTAATCATGAATTTAGAGTGTGTTTGATAAGATTGAAATTTGAAAACTAAAATTTGAATTTTGAATCCATTAAATTATTGAATTATTAAATATTAAATCTGATATATTTGAATGTATATTATATTAAGTAATAATAAATGAATAACTTGTCACTTATTTTTTTAGAACAAGTTTTGCCTAAAAAATTTAATACTACTTAATTAATTTAAATATTCAATTTTTAGTTATCAAACGCGTCTAAACATATTAAGATCTAAATCTATTAAGTATTGAATTGGGTTATCAAACATCTCCTTAGTTTTTATGCCTCAATTTTGTGAGTTAATTGCAATGTTAACAACCGTAACTTATTAAATATTGATCCTACTACTGCGCATTAGTTGTATACATTTGAAAAGTAAAACCAAGAAAGAAAAGAATCGTTGCAAAATCAACCAAGAACAATGATGATCTTCCTCAATTACTTCTGTATGCTCTCCACGAACTAATATGTGGATTTATATAAAACTGCTAGATGAGAATGTAATCTCTGCTGAACTTGTTAGGATGGAATGAGAATATTGTACAGCGCATGCATGGCACCTACAAGGAGAGGAAGAAGGATAGAAAACAAGAAAAGGCAGAAGTCATACCTTGCGGGGGAGCGAGATATCTGGCGCGGGGAAGTTGGTGATACACGATTGAGGTCCAGCCAATACTGGGAAGCACTTGCACGCAGGCATTGGCTTCCGATCATCAGCCATTGAATCAATTCGCACTGCGGTAAACAGCGGTGTTGGAGTACTCCCTGGCGTTGTAGACGCCGTCCCTCGCGGACTTCCGGGCGCTGATTGTGCCATTTTCTTCTTCAAAACTTCAAGTATAAGTTTTTTTTTTTTGGGAGATTGATTAGATCCTAGATTAAGAAACTTGAGAGAACGATATTACGTGATTTGTTGATTTTTATACAGGTTTGGCTACAGGAGCTCCTGAGCCACGCCCAGCCAGCTCTGTAGCACAATACTGTAGGGAAACAAGGTACCTAAATGAAAAAACTGATACTACGTTTTTTTTTTTTTTTTTTTTTTGGTTTTGGAAGAGCCGAATATGGAGCTGATCAAAATTACATGCTGAACAAGTTTTTTATAAATGTGCAGCTACGGAATAGAAAGAATGGTGTTATCCAGTTTGTTACACGCTAGAAACTTTACATGGTGGATTGATGAGTAAATTGGAGACGAGAACCAGGTTTTTACGATTATGATCAAGAATTTGATTAAGGAGATGATGCAAGAATCTGGGGACAATTGGAATAAAAGAGCCACAGGACGTTGCAGAAACGCAAATGGAACAAGTGCAACTAAGTGGGCAAATTTCGGGACTGGCTGAAACAAGTTTCAAATTTTGGATGAGCAAAATATGCATCTGCTTAAAGGTTATATATAATTCGCACACAAAACAAAACTGAAAAAGAGAAAAAAGAAAGAGAAGAAAAGGAAAGAAAAGGTCAATAGTACTCTCCAATTTTCTTGCACCGTGTTTCAGTCGCGTCTGTTGAAAGGTCACGGAAAACGCTGCAGCACCAATAGTTACGTTTAACTTTGAGGAATTGGTGCTTTTTAGTGTCATTTCAACTACTATATGTATTCAACTCAAAAAAGGGTGTTGATGGAGAAGAACTTGGTCAGTTATTAGCAACCAACCATAGAGCTGCCTCACTTTCCTATATTCTAGTAATTCCACCTCGCCCCCGAAAATGCACTTAGACAAGCATATATACCGAATTGTGGACTAAACAGATAAACAAAGATATAAAAATTTATACTCCCTACGACTAACATGTACATTGTACACCTCCCTGTATAGTTTGTATGTATTTACACATGCTGTAGAACCCTGAGTCAGGATTTTGGTTTTATCCTAAGGCGGAGGGGGAAGTGACATGTATATATGTGTGTGTGTGTGTGTGGATAATTGTAGTTTGGCAAGTGGAAATTTAGATTTTTGGATTGTATGATAATTCTTTTCTATTTTTGACACTTAATTATCCAATCTCGATGTCTTATTACACCCAAAATAAAAAGTTTCAAATTAAGTTTCTATATCAAGAAGT